TAGAGACAGGGTTTCACCATGTTGGCCAGGCTGGTCTTGAACTCCTGACCTCAGGTGATCCACCTGCCTCAGCCTCCCAAAGTGCTGGGATTACAGACGTGAGCCATCGCGCCTGGCAAGATTCTGTTTTTAAGGTGCATTCATCAACTACATTTTGTCACTTATCTCACTTATGTGGTTGTCTTCATTATCTCTTGCTGCAAAACAAATCACCCCAAACTTAGCAGCTTAAAACCAGTATTATTGCCTCAAAGTTCCTGAGAATTGGGAACCAGGGGCAGTTTAGCTGGGTGGTTCTGACTCAGAGACTTTCATGAGGCTGCACTCAAGGTGTCAGCCAGACTGCACGTTTGAAGTCTTGCCTGGGACTGGCAGGTCTCCTTCCAAGTTCACTTATGTGGCTGTTGGCTGAAGGTGTCAGTTCCTTACCCTGTGGCCTTCTCCGTGGCAGCGGGCTCACCCCAGGGCAAGTGATCCAAGAGAGAGCAGGTCGGAAGGAAGCTCCAATGTCTTTCATGACCTGGACTTAGAAGTCACATGTTGTCACTGCTGCTTGACTCTATTTGTCAAAAACACGTCTTTAAGTCCAACTCACATTAAAGGGGAGAGAAATGAGGTTCTACCTCTTATGGAAATTTTTTGACATGTTTTAAAACTACCCCATTTGGGTATTTAGATAAATAGCTACCTCGCTTGCTAGACTAAGGGTTCCTTGAGAACCCAATAGAACCCTTGTTTCTAGTGTTCACTTTTGTGTCCCTGGTATCTTCCAGGATGCCTGGCAGAGTGTGGACATTCAATAAATATTGACTATATGAATTAATGAATGAATGAAACTTTGCACTTGAATCCCAGCTCTGAGAACTTTCTACAAATTATACAACATTAGTTTCTGGTTTTGGAGAAAAGGAATAATCACAGCTGTCTCTCGGGTGGTTAAAATAATACAGCCTGTACAAAGCACCTAGTATAGTCTGGCACAGAAGGGGATCATTCTTTCTCTTCCTCTTCCTTGCCTCAATCACACGTGCAATCCATCCGAAGCCCTGCGGAGCCTACTTTCCCTTATGTCTTTCCCATCCCTCTTAGTCTGTTACTCCCTTTCAATTGCTGCTGCTCTTAGACTTGCCTTGCACATGCTTTTCTATTAGCCTTCTATCAGTGGCCTGTGCCTCTATTCTCTGTCTGGTGCAATCCATCCCTAAATGTGCTAGGACCACATCATCTTTGTCATTTTTACATCTTCTATTGCTCTTGCACTGCCCCGCACTAGCTAAGTGTACAACAAATTTTTGTTGAATCGAATTTCAGTTCCACATCTCTTTTATTTAGTTCCTTACTTGCACTGAGTTAATCATACACTCAAGCCCAGGTACCAGGATGAGATAGAGAAACATGCCCTGCCCATACCAAAGGTTATGAATTTTCTAGCTACGTGTAGCCACATTCTTTTCATGTCTACACAAAATAAATGGCCCATAAATGGCAAATTCTTTAGTAGAGCGATTACAGAACATAATGTGAGTTACATTTTCTCTTAATTCTATCTCTAAAGCAAGCACCTTCATCCTAATACTATACTACTACTAACACCATAATACTTCTGTGCTCATTTTTATGCTCTATAATATTGTCATTATTGCTAATAGCAAGAATATCGCAAATATAATTGAAGATAGAAAATTCTTAAATGGTCTGCATTATATAGATAATATGCACTGGTAAATAAGATTAGTGGAAATTTGTCAAATTAATGAAAAAAAAAGACAGATAACATAAGAAATTCCACCTTCTGACATAAGATTTCTCTGACATGCTACAAAAGCAGATGATATTTTCATGTTCCAATGAATAAAAATCTGCTTAAAATATATACACCTAGGGAAATGCTTGCTTTCGAGTCACAAACATATATCTTTTGGAAACAGTAAAAAGTCAAGCTAACACCAGCAAAGATAAGAAAACTATCAGTGACTCCTTAATGTAATAATAATTGTGCTCAAATATTTTTACTTTGTTAAACTATTTTCATTCTGGTAAAGCAAAGAGATTTTGGAGCCATATTTCCCGGCTTCCCATTTTCTAGAAGGGACTGTGACTGCTTGAATTCTGTAAATATATGCAACTGTCTTCAGATGAGCAGTGTCCAAAAACTAATCTTATGTTAAGGATGAGTAATTTACCTTTCTTCCTCCCATTCTGCTAACTTTGTATTTGTATTAACTTAGTGAACAAATCCTCCCTTATACTGGTGTTTATTAGCGTTATACTAAAAAGAAGAGGCAGGTTACCAAAACAGAAGGTTCTTCCAGAATAGTAGAAACTTCCACCTTTGGTCAAATGTTAAAGCAGTGTAAGGGTGAATAGGCTCACATAACCTGAAAACTTTGAGGTCTATCAAAAAGCTTCATTTCACAAATGAGGAAATTGAAGATCAACATGCATAAGGGCCTCCCAGCTCTGCACCACGTGGCAAAAAACCTGTGGCCCTGCACTGTGCCTCCCTTCACATTTGACCAAACTGTCCCGAGACTTGTCTATCCCAGAGCACATCAATCTCAGCACTATTGTCACATTGAGGTGGACAACTCTTTGTTGCAGGTGCTGTTCTGGGCAGGATGGTTAGCAGTATCCTGGACTCGGTCCTCTAGATACCAGTAGCATCCCCTCATGCTAGCTGTGGCAACAAAAACTTTTTTTCAGACACTGCCAAAGGTCCCCTGGGGGCAAAATCACCCCATCTGAAAACCATTGGTTTATCTGAGGTCGTCCTGTTTTTTTTGTTTTGTTTTGTTTTTTTTGTTTGTTTGTTTTTGAGACGGAGTCTCGCTCTGTCGCCCAAGCTGGAGTGCAGTGGCGCGATCCTGGCTCACTGCAAGCTCCGCCTCCTGGGTTCACGCCATTCTCCTGCCTCAGCCTCCCGAGTAGCTGGAACTACAGGCGCCCGCCACCGCGCCCGGCTCATTTTTTGTATTTTTAGTAGAGACGGGGTTTCACCATGGTCTCGATCTCCTGACCTTGTGATCCGCCCGCCTCGGCCTCCCAAAGTGCTGGGATTACAGGCGTGAGCCACCGCACCCGGCCGAGGTCGTCCTGTTTTAATGAATTATTCCTTTTTTCTGTTTTTTGGGCAAGTATCGTAAGATACAAATGCATCACATTGAGTATTGAAGCTCTGAGTTATTTATATGAGAAATCACAGTCTTTCTAAGAAATGGGACTTTAGGCCAGGTACGGTGGCTCACGCCTGGAGTCCCAGCACTTTGGGAGGCCGAGGTGGGCAGATCATCCAAGATCAGGAGTTCGAGACCAGCCTGGCCAACATGGTGAAACCCCATCTCTACCACAAATACAAAAATTAGCCAGGCATGGTGGCGGGCACCCGTAATCCCAGCTAATTGGGAGGCTGAGGCAGGAGAATCGCTTGAACCTGGGAGGCAGAGGTTGCAGTGAGCTGAGATCTTGCCACTGCACTCCAGCCTGGGCGACAGAGCGAGACTCCATGAAAGAAAGAAAGAAAAGAATGAAAAGAAAGAAGGAAGGAAGGAAGGAAAGAAGGAAGGAAGGAAGGAAGGAAGGAAGGAAGGAAGGAAGGAAGGAAGGGAGGGAGGGAGGGAAGGAAGGAAGAAATGGAACTTCGCTTCTTTTTTTTGGTATATGCAAATACAGCTAAGAACCAGTTTCGGACCAGGGCTAGGTCATCCCAACGTCTAGCACAAAGGAGGTGAAGAAAAGAGCAAACTAGAAACTGTCAGTTTTGATCCATGTTTAATGAAAAAGAAGTTACATGAATAGAAATGGACATAAAACAAAGAATTCGATTTGAGAAAATGTGGTGATAGGTAGAACAAGGAGAAATCGTTTTAATTCTGAATTTACTCGCATATTCCTATTAGCTGTTACTGATCTAAAACATCTCCTTAAATCCAAAACAATCGTTACAAGTTCACTGATGTTTTCAAGGGCACTCACCCAAATAATGTCCAAACAATCTTTTTCCATGTCCCCCCTCCCCCCAGAACACACACAGGCAAAGGCAGAGATGTTTACTGTAAGGTCACATGGCGTGAAGCAAATGCAACCTTATCTGTCTATTATTACAACAGCTAGTTAGCATTGGCAAATGTGCTTTGGTTACAAACACAGTTTCTGCTAATAATTTCATGAAGAAGCTTTTAGGATATGTGACCATTTATTCTCAGTACAATCAATCATTGAAGAATAAAAATCAGAGTACAAAAGCTTATACTCTGGTGAATATAAATACATGCAGAGAAGTTTCTGAGAGTTTAAATTTGAGCATATTTGAAATATTAAAGGCATGAAATTTTAAAAATACACATGTGAAACTACAGTGAACATGTTACGGGTTTGTTGCGTGGCTTAACTCTGCTCAGCCCATGATTCTTAGCTGGGTCAGTCAATATTCTATTTTTATCGTTTTCTACCCTGTTGTACGGCATGATCATATCTTCCTAAAAAAGAAAAAAATATATATCTTTGGAAAAGAATTCTGATCTCCAAAAACATGTACTAGTAATAGTTTCACATTAATGATCTCATTTAAAATATCCCTTCTCTCAAGCTAGAAGCTGGCAAGCAGTAAACTCATCATAGACAGTTGCCATGTGGGTAATACAGAGAAGCAATAGATCTGACTCGTTATTCGTTTAAAATAAAAATCTTTTGGCCAGCACAGGGCAGTCATCAACCTCGTATGCTCACACTGAAAAATTTAAAGTTAGGATGAGCCCTGCCTCTTCTGATACTGTATTCGAAGTTTCTCCAGTTGTTCCACACATTGAGACTGGGCCAACCTCAACGTCCGATTCTCCTCCGTCAGAGCCTCGAATTCCCGAACCAGCTCAGCAGCATCCACCTTCTCCTTTTCTGCCTGATCCAACTTGGCAATGAGCTCCTTCCTGAAGATTCAGGGTACAGGGCAGGAAGAAGCACAGAATTCAACGCAAACAAATTAAATTACTCAGTAATAGCATGACGGAAGTAGAATGATTCATTCTGTTCTTCTGAATTGTTTCCCATCCTTACTTGCCTCCAATGACTTTTATTTGTCCAGCTTTGCAAGTTTTATGTCCCATTTATTCTAGTATCTCTACTAGACACTTCCAAAATACTAACTATACACCAAAAGTCCTATAGGTTAATAGTCAAAAACATGATCATTTTAAGAATACAAAAAATTGTAAAAATAATAATTTAGAAAAAAAATCTGTGTATAATTTTTCATAATTTAAGATGCTGCCTGTTGTCTTGTAGGGAGGACAACTATAGTTTTCTCTCTGCTGAGTCTTTGTCCCCCATATTCGTTGTTATCTTCCTTTGTTTCCTATATCAGAGTTGAACAAATCTCCAATAGACTTCTTTGAACTACAGAATCCCAACTCTGTCCTTGTAGATATTACCTCCTATGTCTTTCCCTAATCCTTACACACATGTTGCAGCCCAAATTAACAAAACGATGTGTCCACATTTGATGCTGGCCTGACGCTAGAATTGAGGAAGCAGGCTGAAGGTACTGTAGGAAAACTTTAATGACAACACTTTAAAGAAACTCAGTTCTTAGTTAATATTTGTAAATAATTCATTGAGGTAAATACACACAATAAGAACTAAAGGCTGGGCACAGCGGTTCACATCTGTAATCCCAGCACTTTGAGAGACCTAGGCAAACGGATCGCTTGAGTCCCAGAGTTTGAGACCATCCTTGGCAACATAGCGAGACACAATAATTGTATTAATACAGAGATAAATACAGTAATTTATGTTTTAAAAATGAGGAAATAGAAACTGAAAGTGTTCCATTTAATGGAAAAAGTCACACAGCTAATAAGAAAGAGCCAGAAATCAAGCCTATCTTCTGATTAAATGTTTAGTTTTGTGTCCCAACATAGCGAGACACCGTCTCTACAAAAAATTAGGAAATCAGCTGGGTATGATGGCTGACAACCGTAGTTCCAGCTACTCGGGAGGCTGTGGCAGGAGGATCACTTGAGCCTGGGAGGTTGAGGCTGCAGTGAGCTATAATTGTGCCACTATACTCCAGCCTGGGCAAAAGAGTGAGATCCTGTCTCAAAAAAGTAAATAAATAAGCAAAGTAATGAGTTAAAGATCTTCAGTCCGTGTGTAGATTTAATAAACATGACAACTCAAAGGATACCAGGTCTGTCTCCCGTATGGAGGTCAGGTAATCCTAACCTAGACAAAATCTAACTGAATTCTCCTTTGCCTCATATTTCTTCCTCCTCTGTAGGGCAAAAAACAGTTGGTAAATGTCCTTCAGATACAGAGTTTTCTAGATGGGTTTTCCAAAGGGAAGGTTTTGCACTGCTGGTGTTAACGTTAGATGACTGTAGGTTGTACTGAAAGCTTTATTAGATTTTTGAATTAAATTAAATAAATGTGTATTTTTAAATACAAACCAACACATCTAACCCATGACTTCAAAGATCTTATGCCCTAAAAGGAGGCTAATTAGAAGATCTACGTAAAGATGACTCACAAAAAAAGTTGGAGTCAATAATAATGTAGATGTGGAAGTATCTGGAAATTACTTCATGATCATTCACAGAAGTTGTACCCAAATGACCAAAGCTTGGGACACACTGCCACCAGTCTCAGTCCCAAGCCTTCCCCTCCTAGGCTCCCCCTACCCTGCAAAGCTCCTGAGGTTTTACGGTTGTGTTCCTAGGAAATGGTTTTGAACCCTTGTTTTAAAGTAGTAATAACATTGCCTTAGCATAAAATACATGCAAATACTATCTTCCTTACATTCTTTCATCACTACAGTTGGCCACATTTCTTAAAGCCTCTCCTCTTCCTTCTTCCACTGATCAGATACTGATCTGACACAACATAATATGAAAAGAAGAAAGGAAAGTACATAGATTCCCGAAAAGCAATAATATTCAAGTTTATATTGGAAATAAGCCTGTGGCCACTGGGAACAAGGGGCAGTGGGGGTTGCTCATCAAAACACAGCCTGTAATGTTTCAATAATCCAGAGCTAGAAAACAGCCTGACCATCTCATTCAATTGGGTTTCCAAACATGTTTTATTATAGAATACTATTAGTTAAAAAAACAATTGAACACAAACCCAGACTACTTCTACATATGTCTGCATATTCATTCATAAATTATATACCTGCCAATATATTATATATATTATAAAGCATACCCAAATATGGATATATAACAGGATAAGACTGGATGCTAAACCTAAGGGGTGAAAGTCTGATGAGGAACAAAATATTTACATAACCTCAGCGTATCCCACAAATTACTTAATTGAAAAGTGAAATCAGTGACAAAAAATGGAAGGCCACTTTCATCAAATGACCAAAGTTGACACTGCTAGTCATGAGATAATGGATATCACACACACTGTGAAACACACATCATTTCTGTGGTATTCCTGCCAAAAATGTACAATCTATATCTAATCATACAGACAAAATTAAATTCAGGGAAATTCTACAAAATTGCTAACCTGTATCTTAAAAAATGTTAAGAACGCCTCCGTATTTAAAGAAACCAAAAACAATGACAACACAGGCAATGTGCTATTCTGAACTGAAAAAAAAAATAGTTTTGAAGAACATTATTGGGAAACTGATGTAATTTGAATATGAACTGTGAATTACATAATAATACTGTATCAATGCTAAATTTATTGATTTTAATTATTATACCATGGTTAAAAGAGAGAATGCTATTGTTTCAGAATATACTTACTGAAGTGTTTAGGGCAATGTGGAACATGATGGTGTGTGTAAGTACACATATGTATATACACACATATATGCATACGCATACATATATGTATTTGCACACATGTATACATACACATATGTATATATGCATGTGTGTGTATATGAGAGACAGAGAGAGAGAAAGAAAGAAAACCCCAGTACTGTCGTGAGGAAGAATAAGGCACAACTAGGGAAAGTTTTAGTAACTGTTGAATCCAGTAAAGGATATATGGGAATGTGTTTTTTTGTTTTGTTCTGTTTTTGTTTCTTTTTTTTGAGATGGAGTCTAGGTCTGTCACCCAGGCCGGAGTGCAGTGGTGTGATCTCAGCTCACTGCAACCTCTGCCTCCTGGGATCAAGCGATTCTCCTGCCTCAGCCTCCCAAGTAGCTGGGACTGCAGGTGTGTGCCACCACGCTTGGCTCATTTTTGTATTTTTAGTATAGACGGGGTGTTACCACGTTGGCTGGGCTGGTCCTGACGTCAGGTGATCTGCCTGCCTCAGCCTCCCAAAGTACTGGGTTTATAGGCGTGAGCCACTGTGCCCAGCCAGGAGTTCTTTATACTACTTTTGCAATTTTTCTCTAGGTTTGAAACTATCAAAATGCAGTTATCCTGAAAAAAAGACAAGGAGTAAATAAGGACAAAAGTTCTAGTATTTTCTTCCTGTGCCCAGTGGCCTGCCTTGGATACCCACTTTGGTGTCCACTGAGCAAAACCAGACATTAGAAAGTGTCCAATCAGGGAAAACTGGAAGATAATGTACATCACTGATACACATATAAACAAAGTTCCTTCGGGCTCTTACTGATTTTTGAATCTTCCACACTATTTAGAATAGAATAGGCTCGCAATAAATACTTACTGAATAAATAATTGAAGAAAAATGTAACTCAGAGATAAATACAGTAATTTATGTTTTAAAAATGAGGAAATAGAAACTGAAAGTGTTCCATTTAATGGAAAAAGTCACACAGCTAATAAGAAAGAGCCAGAAATCAAGCCTATCTTCTGATTAAATGTTTAGTTTTGTGTCCCTAAGCATAGCTTAGGTAGTAAATGTCAATAATTAAATATTGATTAGTAAAATTCCTCATGTAATTATTTTTAAAACATTAATGAGTAAAACCTATTTAAAAAAAAAAAAAAAAGAAAAGAGGCCAGGCTCAGAGGCTCACACCTGTAATCCCAGCACTTTGAGAGGCCGAGGTGGGTGGATCACTTGAGGTCAGGAGTTTGAGACCAGCCTGGCCAACATGGTGAAACCCTGTGTCTAATGAAAATACAAAAATTAGCAGAGCCTGGTGGTGCACACCTGTAATCCCAGCTACTCGGGAGGCTGAGGCAGGAGAATCGCTTGAGCCCAGGAGTTTGAGACCAGCCTGGCCAACATGGTGAAACCCTGTGTCTAATGAAAACACAAAAATTAGCCAGGCATGGTGGTGTGTGCCTGTAATTCCAGCTACTCGGGAGGCTGAGGCAGGAGAATCGCTGGAACCTGGGAGGTGGAGATGCAGTGAGCCGAGATCGCATCATCGCTGTACTCCTGCCTGGGCAACAGAGTGAGACTCCATCTCAAAAAAAAGAAAAAGAAAAAGAAAAAAGAGAGAGAGAGACATGCTTTAAATCCCCTATCCATCAAACAGATCATCTATTCCTGTTCTATTTTTCCCTTCAAATTGCTTGTGTCGTATAAACGATTTAGGTGGAGATAGAGTTTTGCTTTCAAATCATGGTCTGGGAGGTGGTGCTAATGGGGATAACAATGGCTATTTCCCTGGCTCCTATCTAACCTCATGTAAAACTCCTGAAGCTACCTGTCATTAATTTTGACTGACGGAGGTAATAAATCACAAAATCATAGATTTTTACAATTTGAAAGAATAGTCTAAATTGTCTGGTCTGATCTTCTTGCATTGGAGAAAGTCAATAATAATTTCTTCTTTACTGGAACCCAGAAGACTCAGTGGATATGTTTCTAAATTAGTTTCATGTATTTGATAAGCAATTATACAGACATCCAATGAAAACTGTCACAACGTCTGTTGCTTCCTGTCCAGGACCTATTTATATAGACATATTTATGCTCATCCATTAGCAATTCATAATTAAACCTTGGCACATCAAGCTACAAAAACAATCTTATAAATAG